GAAACAAAAGCATAAACTCTTCCCCTAAAGCATTTTTAATTTCCATTTGACAAGTAGATTCTTTTACTTCCATTTTAAAGTTAAAACATTCTTAAAATATCTAAACTGGTTTATTTCAGCAGTCACTCTTTCAATCCCATGTTTCCCAGCAACTGTCTTTTGCTTATCAGCATTCAAAAAATTTAAAAAAAAACCACAATGGCATACAGGATCCAGATTCCTTGTGTATTTCCCATCTCTATGTGACTTACTGGTTTTTTTGTTTTGTTTTGTTTTGTTTTTCGAGACAGGGTTTCTCTGTAGCTTTGGAGCCCGTCCTGGAACTCCCTTTGTAGACCAGGCTGGCCTTGAACTCACAGAGATCCGCCCGCCTCTGCCTCCTAAGTGCGCCACCACTGCCCGGCCTGACTTATTCTTATTCTTTTTTAAATATTACTTTATTTCTCTCTTTAAAGACTTTATTATTTTAAACTATTTCTTTCTATGACTGTCTATACCCATTTTTTTCTTAAGCCTTTGCACATTGTTAAACACACTGTAGCTTAGAGGTTTTTCTTTCTGGGTCTATCTTTAGTGTATATCTCTAGTCTTTTTTTTGTCTGCATGAGCAAAGAACTGCTAAGTGGGATGGCTAGGACCTCCACTGCAGTTTTAGTGGCTGGTTCCACCCACCTCTTTGAGAGGCAGCCAGAGATGCATTTGACCAGGAACTGCATTTTAAATCCCCCCTCCCCTATGATGGCACTGCAACAGGCATTTTTGGTTGGCTCTTTTTTTTCTATTTAACATACTGGTTGCTCAAGGGCTTACTGTGAGGCTGAGACTCTTAAAGAAGCTGTATCTGTTTTTTTTTTCTCAGCTTTCTCAGACCCTATGTGGAAATTAGGGTTTAACGTTGGATCACCAAAATATAGGTTTTCTTTTTTCTTCTTTGAGAGCCCACAACCCAGCTCCAAAATAAACACATGAAGATTTAGTCTTACTTATGAAAGCTCAGCCTTATCTTGGTTTGTTTCTAGCCAGTTTTTCTTTTTTGTTTGTTTGTTTGTTTGTTTTTCGAGAAAGGGTTTCTCTGTGGCTTTGGAGCCTGTCCTGGAACTAGCTCTCCTAGACCAGGCTGGTCTCGAACTCACAGAGATCCGCCTGCCTCTGCCTCCCGAGTGCTGGGATTAAAGGCGTGCACCACCACCGCCCGGCTTCTAGCCAGTTTTTCTAACTTAAATTATCCTATCTGTCTTTAACTATGTTTTGTCTCTGGGTTTTTTTTCTCTTCTTTATTGTATATATTTTTCTTTCCTTCTTACTCCATGGATGGTCCCTGGTGACCTCCTCTTCTCCTTTTCTTGCTCCTCCCTCTCCTTCTCCTATTCTCTCTGCCTGGCAGCCCCACCTATCCCTCTCCTTTCTAGCTGTTGGCAATTCAGCTCTTTCTTAGACCAATGAGGTGTTTTAGGCAGGCAAAGTAGCATACCTTTACAGAATTAAACAAATGCAATAAATGATTGCAACACATTTTAAACTAATATTCAACAACATTAGATATCTTGCTAGCTCTGCACATGAGAATTTAAGAGTTTTTTAAAATAAAGTATTATAATGCTTCTTGTGCCCAAGGTATAAAACAAAATCATATCATGTAATATCCACGAAAAGAAAAACAATAAGGGAGGGGGCCGAAGAGATTGCTCAGTGGTCAAGCTGCTCACTGCTTGCTCTTGTAGTGGACCCTGGTTTAACTCCCAGCCTTCATATAAGGGCTCACAACAACCTGTAACTCCATTTTCAGGGGATCCTCCACCCTATTCTGGCCTCTGCAAGTACTGCACACAAGTGGTAGTACTCTTACATACATAAAGGCAAAACACTCGTGCACATAAAATAAAAATAAACAAATAATTTTTAAAGAGATTAATTAAATAAATTATGACACATACATTCAATGGCTAGTTTTCTTGCTACTAAGGATTTGTTGTAAGGGCTGGAGAGGTGGTGTCACAGTTAAGATTACATACTGATCTTATAGAGAACTGGAGTTTGGTTCTTAGCATCCATGTTAGGTGGCTCACAAGCATCTGTAAGGCCAACTCTAGGGGATTCTACACCCTCTTCTGGCCTCCACAGACACCACACTAGTGTGTACAGACTTATATTCACATACACATATACACATAATTTTTTAAATATCTTAAAAATTCATTGTATGAAAATCCACATAGGAACATTAAAAATTCATCTGCTTTAAGAAAGGAAAAGCAAGATATAAAATTATGCACTAATTTTCACTTGAACTCATCTATAAAGAAAACACATAAGCTTTGCATAGAATAAAGTATAGGAAAGATACAAAGCAAAATGCCAATGACTCACGTCCTTACCTTTTTGAGCCTGTTTTCTTATGAGCAAATAGGTGCTTCTGTCACTGCTACTTGGAAAACTTGGCATTTCTTACACTAGCAAGGCTAATGATATCTTTATACATCCAATTTGTTTGATAAGGTGCTACCTCCCCTCCTATCCCGACAAATATTGAAACTGAACTTGACACTGGGGCAGGATGTGGGGGAGGCACATCTTTGATCCCAGCACTTGGGAGGCACAGGCAGGCAGATCTCTGAGTGTAATGATTATATAGATTATTATATTATTAATAAAAACTCAGGAGTCGGATATGGGGTTAAAACCTGGCAGCTCAGAGAAACGGCAAAAGATCAAGCAGTGACCTCCCCCCTCTCTCTCCTTCTTTGATCCAAATACCACAAATCTTTCAAACCCCTCCCTACTACTTCCTGTGTCTCTCTATATGTCCTGGGTCCTCTAAAACCTCTATGACTGATTCTGGTCAACTAGTAGTAGCTCTATCCTCTGGTTGAAAGTAAACTTTATTGACAGCCTCAGGAGTGCCAGAGTATGATCAAAATATCCCACAGCATCTGAGTTCGAGGCCAGCCTGGTCTACAGAGTGAGTTCCAGGACAGCCAGGGCTACACAGAGAAATTCTGTCTCAAAAGAGAAAGAAAGAAAGAAAGAAAGAAAGAAAGAAAGAAATCGAACTTGACCTAGATGAATTTCCAAGTTGTTAAGATTTCCATCGGGGTCAAGGTCTCATTCAGTTGCCAAGGCTTTTCTCTCTGCCGTGATTGATCTGAAGTCTTATGTAAGGATGGGAGATGATGCCAGTGGCAAGTGACAAACACTACTTTCCTTTGCTCTAATGCACTGATGGTTTTATAGTGCTTGCCGTTGAAATCTGGACTCTCCCCCACTCAAGAAAGATTCCTGAGCTAGGAGCAGGGATGACCCTATAATCCCTGCACTTGGGAGGTGAAGGTAGGCAGACCAAGAGTTCATGGCCAACCTTAGATATATAACAAGTTTAAGGCTAGCCTGGGCTATTAAACCAATCTTTAAAAAACAAGAAAGAGGAGGAGGCATAGGAAGAGAAGGAGACAAAGATAGTTTTTGTTTTTGATTCTGGTTTTGGTTTTGGTTCTGGTTTTGGTTTTTTGAGACAGGGTTTCTTTGTGTAGCCTTGGCTCTCCTGGAACTTGCTTTGATAACAGCTTTGTCCTTTGCTAGCAATGTCAGCGCAGTCAGATTGATAATTTTGGCTGGATGGACCTTCAGCCATGCCATAGGCCACCAGTAAACTATCACCTGTCCCAGCTAGGGAGTAGGACCAACCCTAGATACACATAGCCCTACGTGGTCCTCCTGCAAGATTAGGAAGTTCTATCATTTTCTGACGCTATGGTAATAGATGAGTTGTCTAACTTCTTGGAGCCTCGACTTCCTGATCTGCAAATGGGAGAGTGGAGTCATGAAGCTGTTCTTGTGGGTTTAGTGTGAGAACTGAAGAGAGTCCTCTCCAGCTGTCAATCATACTTCAGTTGTTTGAGGGGGGTCACTGCTGCTGTTTCACATCCAAACAGCTGTCATAGTGCAGGCAAACATCTGACCTTGAAGTGTCCCTATCAGATCTTCCACACTGGCTGAGTGTGGGACAGTTGCTTCATCTTTCCTCACCTGTAAAGTAAGGAGGGTGGACTTGAGCTAACCCTGGAAAAGGAGACTGTGGGTCGATTAGAGGAACATTGGCTGCTCTAATAAATTATTTACCAATGCCAGCATTGTCACCTGAGGCTATTGTGCCTTAGGCGCTCACTAACTTAGTCAGCAGATCCTAATGGAAGAGTTAGGACAAGTAACGTCCCAGGGAATAAGAATCATTTTATTTTATTTGAGGGACTAATTTCCAAAGGCAAAGGAGAAAAAAATAGTAAGGAAAGGGTTAGGGGTCTGCGGCAAAATGTACAAATAAAAGCAATGTCTGTACTGAAGATGCTATTCAAAGCCGAGTTTAGAGCTCTGAAATTGCTCCGCAATTATTCCAGCTCTTATTCCCCAACAGAAAGCAGTCTTTTTTTTGTGACAGGGTTTCTCTGTAGCTTTTGAAGCCTATCCTTGAACTACCTCTTGTAGACCAGGTTGGTCTCGAACTCACAGAGATCTGCCTGCCTCTGCCTCCCAAGTGCTGGGATTAAAGGCGTGTGCCACCACCACCAGGCCAGAAAGCAGTCGTAGGATACAAGTCAGGCTTGGAGTCTGTTTCTCCTTGCACAGCCTGTCATACAGACCCTTTCTCGCTTTCCCTCAGAAAGGCTTCATTTGCTCACTGTATTTTTCTTGTTTTTGTTTGTTTTTTCTTCTGAGCACTTCCGCTGTCACTGGTTCCAGTGAGGAAAGTCACTTCTTTCTCAGGTAAGTTTGGTTTGGCAGCACATCCCAAGCTGAACCTGCTCCCATTCTGACGTCATGCCACCTCCAGCATAGAAGTTTCACTCCCGTGTGTATTTCATAAGCATAGGGAAGAAATTCCTTTTGGACCAAGTACAAGCTGAATTTCAGTAGAAAAATAAAATCAACGTTGTCTATTTCCCTTGAACTTTAACCCAGTGCTTTTTCTGGCAGCCTTCCTGGCCTCTCCCAGGCAGAAGACTTACCTGTTACCTTTATTACACTTCTCTGGGAACGTGCCTGCCGAACTATCATCCTATTGTCCTTTATCTGTCCGGGTGTGGCCATGTCTCCAGCGAATGGCTGCTGTGTTCTCAGGGTAGAGGAATGGCAGTGAACTTTTTCTTAACTCAGACTCCCTGGAGATCCAAAGTCTCTCCACCAATACCAAGAGGATGAGAAGAAGCCGGCAAAAGACCAAGTGAATTCACAATTCAAGTTAGAATATTCAGGACCTGGTGGACATGGTAGCAAGCAAGGAGTAGAGAGCTCAGAAAAATCCGCGGTGGGATGGTCTGGAAAGGCCAGAGCATCTGTAAGAGATGCTCTGCTGTGGTCTGAATGTTAGCATGCTGCCCTCAGGACATATGCTGACATATCTACCTGCAGTGCACTGCAGAGAGTCTGGAATCTCGTGACTGGGATTAGTACTCATGTAAAAGAGACTCCAGACAGCTGCGATTTTCCTTTCACTATGAGTAGTCCCTGCAAGAAGATTCTGTCTGTGAAAAAGCAGGACCTCCTAAAACACCACATCTGCTTGGCACCTTGATCTTGGCCTTGTTACCGCCAGAACTATGAGAAGTGAATTTCTGTTGTTTGTAAGTCATGCAGTCAATAGTATCCCGTTAGAGTAGCCCAAATGGAGTGAGTGAGTGTGTGTGTGTGTGTGTGTGTGTGTGTGTGTGTGTGTGTACATGTTCTTAAAGGGGTTAGTGCACATGCGCGCACTTCCCCAGCTGTGCTGCTTTTCCTGAAGACACCATCGTCGCTAGTGTCTGCCAGATGTGCTCCTGTTGTATTTACTTTTCCCACTGCTGTGACAATCCCTGACAAAATCAACATAAAGGAAGAAAGGTTTATTTTGACTCACAGTCTGAGGCAGCAGTTCTCAACCTGGGGGTCAAAAGACCTTTTCACAGTGGTCAACTAAGACCATTGGAAAACACAGATATTTACATTACAATTCATAACTATCACATATACAGTTACAAAGTAGCAACAAAAATAACTTTATGGTTGAGGTCACCACAACACGAGGGACTGTACTAAAGGGTCACAACATGAGGAAGGTTGAACAGCATAGGTGTGAGGGCATGTAATCAACCCAATATGGCAGGAATTTAGCGCAGCTGATCCCATTGCTCCCACAGTCAAGAAGCAAAAATAAATGAATACTAGCACCCAACTGCTTTCTCCTTTACTTTTCCTTTTTATTTAGTCTTGGACTCTAGGCTGTGGGATAGTGCCACCCGGTTTAAGAGCTGGTCTCAATTCAACCTCTCTGGAAATGTCCTCACAGATACGCCCCAAATTGTATCTCCTAGGTGATTCCAAACTTGGTTACCTTGACAGTGCAAATGAACCCTCACAGCCCCTATTATCCAGTATGGCGGCAGATGTCTGCTAAGCTGCCACTGACTGTATGGCCAAGAGATTCTTTTGAGCCCTATGACGTCTGATCTCATCAGCAGCCCTCCCATATGAAAAGCCTTCCTCTTCGCTTAGTTCAGGTCCACCTTTTTTTTCTCCTACTGTCTTCTGGTCACAGTTGGGTCTCTGAATGGTTGCTGCTCTTCTGCTGCTTCTAGAAGTGCCTTGGAGCTCGATCTGTGGCCCCTTTCTTGATTCTGTCTATTAGACAAGCCCCGCTCCCCCTCTGGCTTCATTTGGCCACTTCAGTGCTGATTCCTACACTTCCACTTCCATGCCAGTGTCTCAGTGATTCCCTTAAGCCCTACGTGCCAATGCTCTGTCCTCTCCATCTCTTGAGTTCTCGCTTCACTTCATCCCTACGGTCATTAGCCTGCTCATGGCTACAATTACTTCTCATCTGGTTACTCCAATTATACTTGGCTCCCCCTACATGCTCTCTTGCATCTAACCTATTCTTTCATCCATTGCGGCCTGAGTGATTTTTGTAAAAGTTTCTGCATCTCATCATGTCACTCTCCTTTGGGGCCCACAAGACCTTGCTTGGTCTAGCCACTGTGTTCCACTCCCTCCTTTGTACAACTCTGGCTCTTATTTTCTCCGCTCTAACAATACTAGATTCACATTGATACCTTAAAATGCAATATCTTTTCCCACCTGCAACCTTTGACCATGATCCTCATTCTGTCCAATATATTCTTTCCACCTTCAACCACAAAGTAGCTAATCTATACTCATCCTTAGAATCCCCACTCACCCTTGGAATCGCCTTCTAGTTCCTTCCATAGCACTATACATTCCTCCTCGCTGGCACATCGAGCCCTTCAAGGGAAGATAATTTGGAGTTAACGTCAGTCTTCCTCTCTGCCTGTAAGTTCCATATTGGAAGAGCCCATGCCCGTTTGCTCACCACTGGGTCTCCATGCCTAGGATTGCTTCCAGTAGGAATGTCTTTAAGGTGGCTGCCTCTTCGCGCACGTCAACCAGTCATTATCCACCAGGGTTCACCAAGCCATGCCTGTCGGGTTGGAGTCACTTTACTCTTCATGTATTCGTTTCCGACAACGACATTGCCACAAACATTGTGGCTTAAAGCAAGACATTTATTGTCTCGTGGTTCAGAAGTCAGGAAACCTAAAATCAAAGTCCATGAGCAAGCGAAGGGCAAATGGTCAATTGGTACAAAGGGTCAGTTACATAGTGCGGCTATATTCTGCTGTTCTACTGCATGGCACAGCGCGTATGGCTAAAAAATAATGCATTTTACATTTCAAACGAATTAAAGGGGACAGGTATAGTGGTACATGCCTGCAATCCCAGCTACTTGGGAGGCTGAGGCAAGAGGATCACTTGAGTCCAGAAGTTCTAGGCTGCAGCGCATTCCGTTGATCCTGGGAGTGGGAGACCGCCAGCTTTTCTAAAGAGGTTGTAAACTAGCCCCGGTCAGAAATGGAGCAGGTCAAAATAGCTAAAAGAGAAGATTTTGAATGTTTTAACTAGAAAAAAATGTCAAATGTCTGATTTGATCATTTCATGATGCATACGTATATCAAGACATCATACCATACCTATAGTGCACAAAACTGCCATTAAGTAAAAGCAAAATAAACCTTAAAAATAGATCAAGGAATAGAAAGGATGGTATTCATTCTAGAAGCTCTGGGGTCTTGTGGGCCTCACAGATGTGAGTCTGTTCCACCTTGACTAAGGGTCAGAGAGTTTGAGCTTGTTCTTGCTCTCAGTTGTTGACAGCAGGCATGGCTACAAACAAGTGATCCCGACCTAGGGTCTGGTTAATTAGTATTTTGAGTATACAGGTGGATCTGCTCCACCTGGATCAAACAAGTGATCCTGACCTAGGGTCTGGTTAATTAGTATTTTGAGTATACAGGTGGATGTGCTCCACCTGGACCAAACAAGTGATCCTGACCTAGGGTCTGGTTAATTAGTATTTTGAGTATACAGGTGGATGTGCTCCACCTGGACCAAACAAGTGATCCTGACCTAGGGTCTGGTTAATTAGTATTTTGAGTATACAGGTGGATGTGCTCCACCTGGACCAAAGGTCGGAGAATTCAACTCTATTCCTTATACCATGTCAGTGAAGTCTGTTGCTTCCCCACTTCCCTTTGGGAGTGAAGTATAATAAGCATGTGGAAAACGAACGTGGGCAGTTCAGTAGTCACTGAATTTCCCTCCCGATGGTGTTCTGTGTTTTTGCCTATTATTTCTCTCATATCTCTGGTCCTTTGGCTTAAAAATTCTAATCCTCATGTCCCTACCCTGGAATGTGTGAGTTTAGTTGAGGCTGGACCCCAACAGGGACTGACTGGTTAGGGTTTCTACTGCTGTGATAAACACCACGACCAAAAGCAACCTGGGAAGGGAAGGGTTGATTTCATCTTACAATTCTCAGGTCACCCCCCCCCCCCATCACTGAGGGAAGTCAGGACAGGACCTCAAACAGGGCAGGAACCTAAAGGCAGGAGCTGACGCAGAAGCCATGGAGGAGTGCTGCTTACTGACCTGTTCCCTTTGGCTTGCCCAGCCTGCTTTCTTATAGACCCCAGGACCACGTGCCCAAGGATAGTATCACCCACAGTGGGCTAGGCCCTTCTGCATCACTACTCAATCTAGAAAGTGTCTCACAGGCTTGCCTGTAGGCCAATTTGATGGAGGCATTTTTCTCAGCTTAGATTGTCTCCTCTCAGATGGTTCTAGCTCGTGTCAAGTCAGAAACTAAACCAGCACAGGGAGAGCTCACCATCGTGACTGCGGTCTTCTTTTTGTTTGGTTTTGTTTCTACTTTAAAAACTTTATTTCTATATAATATGCATAAGAAATAGTCTCAGATAATAATAGAATGCAGTTATGTTTAACTTATTCTACACAATTTCGGCCAGAAACTTGGTACATGGTTTGCAGTTTCAATAAGCAGGCTGATCTGGGTGATGGCGGCACAGAAGTAGGCGGATCGCTGTGAGTTTGAGGCCAGTCTGCTCTACAGAGTGAGTTACAGGACAACTAGGGCTGTTACACAGAGAAATCTTGTCTCAAAATAAAGTCTGGTTTACCTGATTTACTTCTATCTATTTTTTTTTTTTGGTTTTTCGAGACAGGGTTTCTCTGTGGCTTTTGAGCCTGTCCTGGAACTAGCTCTGTAGACCAGGCTGGTCTCGAACTCACAGAGATCCACCTGCCTCTGCCTCCCGAGTGCTGGGATTAAAGGCGTGTGCCACCATCGCCCGGCTTCTATCTATTATAAATGTATAAAAGTTCCTCCATCAAATGTTGCTAAAGAAGGCAGCAGAACCCCAAAACTGCAGGCTTCTCGACTTCCAAACCTGCATCCCTCCAGCAGCTACCTCCACTGTCACCTGTCCCCTCATCCTTACTATCCTGTCTCCCTCTTTTAGGGGATTTCAATCCATTCATGTAAACCAGGAAAAATCTTCCCATCTCAAGAACATCAACTTAATAATATCTGCAAGGTCTCTTATTATCTTTTGGGAGAGCGGGGGTTTGAGACAGGGTTTCTCTGTATAATAGCCCTGGCTGTTCTAAACTCTGTAGACCAGGCTGGCCTCGAACTCATGGAGACCAACCAGCTTCTGCCTCCCAAGTGCTGGGATTAAAGGCATGTGCCACCACCACC